CCCCCCGCCAAAGAAACTTCCCTATCCCTATCCCTATCCCTACTATCTAAAACTTGCAAAGTTCCGATGGACCCTCCGGCGAATATTCAGAGAACCGATCAATCTCGCCAGATTTATGCACCTTTCTAGGCGTGTAATGGGTGTGCAGCAATTTGTGCGCTTTGTGACTGTTCGGCTCTCCAAAGAATTGCTCGTACAGTTGAGCGATCTCCTTGTTTTCGTGACTCATTCGGATCGCCGATGCCTCGTCTCCCTTGTAGATTGCCTGCGCGCGGTGCTGAAGAAGTTTCTCGTCCACAGAGTCCTTGGGATTGCCGGCGCCGCCAATACACCCACCCCTGCAGGCCATCATCTCAACGAAATGATAGGTGCGTTTGCCTGCCAGAATGTCTTCCACCAAGCTGCGCAAATGAACCCCACCATGCGCGATTGCAACCTTGAGTTCGGTACCGTTGACATCGATGTTGGCCTCTTTCACGCCGTCGAGACCCCTCACCTCCGTGAAGTCGAGCTTGGGCATAGGTGGCGCGTCGGCCGGCGCCGTGACGGCAACCGCCGTACGAAGCGCCGCCTCCATCACCCCTCCGGTCACTCCAAACAACAGAGCAGCGCCGGAAGATTGACCCAACGGGGAGTCAAACTCAGCCTCCTTGAGCGAAGCGAAATTGATCCTTGGCCTCGCTCGCTCGATGAGCGAGGCCAACTCCCTCGTGGTGAGCACGTAGTCTACGTCAGGACCCCCCAGGTCCTCGTTGTGCATCTCCTTCCGCGCAGCCTCGTCCTTCTTCGCTACACACGGCATGACCGAGACAAACTTCACTTCGCTGGGATGCCGACCTACAGAGGCCGCGAAATGCGATTTCACGACCGCGCCCAGCATTTGCTGCGGCGATTTGCAAGAGGATAAATTCGGAATCAGCTCCGGGTAAGTTTTCTCGACCATGTTGATCCATCCGGGGCAGCAGGAGGTGAACATGGGGAAGGGTCCCCCGCTCTTCACCCGGCCGAGGAGCTCCGTGGCCTCCTCCATGATCGTCAAATCGGCGGAGAAATTGGTGTCGAAAACGTAATCGAAGCCCAATTTCCTCAAGGCAGCGACCATATGTCCGGTGGAGATGGAGCCTGGCTCCATGCCAAAAGCTTCGGCGATCGTCACGCGCACGGCCGGCGCTGTCTGCGCCACCATTACCGGCCTCTTCCCCGTCCTCGGCGCCACAGCCGCAGCAGCGGTTGCCTCCGCCGCCGCCGCCGCCTCACTCCCCGCACTACTACTGCTGCTCCTGCTGCTGCTGGTGGTAGCGTATCCTCTCCCCCCACCCCCGCCGCTGCTGCTGCTGCTGCTGCTGCTAGCACGCACCTCCTGCGATGCCGATACCATCTGCCTCGGCCCCCAGAGCAGACGGGTCTTGGGCATCTCCTGATCCCAGTCCTTCTCCGTGCGCGGCGGAAGACTCTCCGCTTCCCTCATTTGCAGCAACTCCTCCACTTGCCGCACGTGCGACTTCTCTGTGATCGATCCCACCGGGCATACTGCCGCACACTGGCCGCACGACAGACACGACGTCTCCCCCAGCGGGAGCCCGTACAATGGCGCCACAGTCTCATGATCTCCTCTCGCCGTCGCGCCCAAGATATTCATCCCTTGCAATTCGTTACACGCGCGCACGCATCGCAGACACAAGATGCACTTGTCGAAATCCATGGACAGCGCCGGCGACGACTCGTCCTTCTCGTGAGCGATCCCCGCCTCCTCGACATGGTGATCGACTCTCTTCTGCTTCTCCAACATAGGTGGGTCCTCCACGCCATATCGAAGAAGAAGGTCCTGAAACTCGCAGCGACTGTTCACAGAGCACGTAGAACAGGCATTCGGATGCTTTAGTCTCATCAACGCAAGGTTCCCTTTCACCGTGTCGAAAACCTCGTCCGTGTGAGTCCGCACTGTCAACCCCTCTGCCACCTCTTTCGTGCACGCGGGCTCCATCCTCCAACCCCCGGTGTCGACCAGACAGAGACGGCAAGTCCCGACAGGTTTCAAAGCGGGGTGGTAACACACCGCTGGGATGTAAATGCCGAGATCCCGACAAGCTTGCAGCAGAGTCATGCCCTTCGGAACCCTATACTCGACGCCGTCAACTTTAATACCGACCAGTTCTTTGGCCTCCTCCACCGCTGCAGCAGCGGCAGCGGATTCGGAGTGAAGCAGTGCGCGCGGCTGCTGCTGCCGATTCCTTCCCATGTCCGAGCCGCCACTGACAGCCGCGCGAGAGCTGCTGCCCCCGCACGCGCACCCCGCCGTCCACAATTGCCGCGCATTCTGCGGGATCGCGGCCGCGGTACACATCTTCCGCCTCAATTCCCCCCCCGCGCTGCCCGCGCGCGAGGAGAACGCTTCCTCATGCGCACTCACAGAGCGCATCGTACCCTCAGCGGCCGTTGTCAGCCGCCGGATCGCCCAACTTGCGCAGCGCGCCCCCGTGCGATCCCCCCTCCCTCGCTGCCATAGCTGCCTTAGCATGGTGGAAGCTTCCCTCCACTCTGCTTCCGCCGACTCCGACTTCTTCGAAGTGTTCCAATCAAATCACCTTTTTTTCCCCTTTCTGATCGGATTCCTTGTTTAACTTGAGCAGCTCAAGTATGTGCGGCGCTACCCAAAGATCTGGCCTGAAAGCTCTTAAAGGACGATTCTGCTCTAAACTATCCTCGGGCGTTGATGAAGGAGAAGAGTGCGAGCGAGAAGAAGAACGCTAGCGATGGTCGACAAGCCCAAACAGTGGCCACGGCTAACCCGTCCGCAGGCGATGGCTGGGCCCATACCACCGTCAACTTCGATCCTCTTAGTACTATTGCGGCGCGGCTGCGCGGTCGTGCAAGCGACAATTGCAAAGTTCACCCTCGCGCGACCAAGGAGCAAGCATCACTGAGACTGACCAGAGAACGCACATGTCTCGATGGATGCACACTTCTACTACACCACTGCAAAATCGGGATGTCAGATTAAACCCCGGAGACACTACACTACTAAACCCTCCCAGCGGTCTCTAGGCGAGTCCAGACGACGAGAGCACAAAACCAATCACACAGTACTGTACAGGGCTGATGTCACTCGCGCATTCGCAAATTCCCTGCGGGCCGTCAGTTCAGACTGCTACGGTAGTCTGCTAAACGACTGCTTTGCCACGATGCGCCACTGCTCTCAGACTGCCTGCGCACCCCTACCAGGTAGCCGGCCACCTCCTAAACAGCTCGGTGTGGAGCTTTCCCGCTGTATTAGATCCCACAGCGCTTGTCGGTCGACAAGCTTGCGACCACCCAGAGCTCGATAAGAACAATATGACCAATTCCGACCACGTACGAGAGTGAAGAAGGCAGAGAGAGGAGAGAGAGGAGAGAGTTGTGTGCGAATAGGTTAGGTTCCCCCAACAACGACAGATCTGTGAGGCAGAACCGTGCTGCCTCTGTCAGCAAGGCGCCCTCTGCCCTCCACCCTCCACCCTCCCGCCAAGTGACACGTTCCGGCCCGCCTTTTCCTTTTTCCCTGTGCGCCTTGAAATGTTCGCCTGAAATGTACGTGCTCGACGCGCTTTTATTTCCAAAAGAGGGAAAAAAAAAAACTCAGACTCGTCGCTGAATGCCAACAGCGGCTTCAGCTGTCGGTTCCTCCGGTAGCAGCCGGGATCGATACCGATCCCGAACTACACACAGCGATGCAATGGCGAAACGACGCCTTCGCCGTTCGAGTGTCCCCTCACGCACTTCACCGGATGCTAAACAGGTAGCTGTATGCCGTAATACCTTCAAAAGAGCCGCCTGCTACGTGCGTGAGCGAGTGGTAAATCGAACAAACAGATGCGCACTCTGACCTGCACCCCTACAGACGAACATCTCGGTGAATAAACACACACCTGTGAGGTCATAGGGGGTCTCGCTGCACGAAAAAATTCGCGAGTGCTTCTAGAGCTGTCAGAGGTCTACGTTCTTCCCCCCAATGCCGGTCATTATAGCTGTATTTGAAGAATCGTTCACTCTAGAGACAGCTATAATGACCGCACGTTGTATTCGGGGGAAGACGGTAGAACTCTTGAAAAAAGAAGCATGGCTCCACTTACTCCAGACTAAGGGGATACTCACACGGGGACCTATAATTCCAAAATCCCAAAAAAAAGGGAAAAACGCCGGTCACACGGATCTACCAAATTCGCAAATGTACTATTCCAGTGCCCATTTGTCAGCGGCCTGGGAAGCCACGAGGCAAGGGATTTTGGGGTCACCTCTGGAGGTGACCGCAAATTCCCTTTTTTTTTTGCATTTTCTTCAAAAATTGACAAAAGGGAAACAACGGGGGCGCAGTGACGGGCGCTGGGTAGCGCTCTGCAGTGCGCTGTGGACGGTGGGACCGTCGACGCTCTCTCATCATTCCCCTGCAATCTCTGTGAGGAAATGAGTGGACCACCACCTGGCGTCAACCTGTTGACGCCAACCATAGCCAAGTGCTTGGGAGGTATAGGAGTCATTGGAGAGTCCTTAGGGTCATCACAACATCATGTGAATGAGGTGAATCGACAAGCGCTTTGGCGCCCGTCTGGGAGATAACAGATGGAGCCGGAGGGAGCATACCCGAAGTAGGGTTGGTAAGACGGGAAGAGGACGTGTTGGAGACTGTCGAACAAGTATCAGCAAGAAGTCTCAGGAGAGACAGTAGGCGGTGAATCAAGACGAATAAAGGATATACCTCATCGGTCCACATGGAACATGCCACCTGCCACCTCGATGAGGGATGGGTGAGAGACCCTGTACAGCGGCAGCGAGGAAGCTGTCTATAGACCAACCTGTCTTCGGGAAGGAACTTCCGGCGACCCGAGGGGCTGATCCACATACCTCCTTAAGGAAGACGACCTTAGTCTTCGGCGGCATGGAAGCGGAGGTTCAGCGAGTCAGGCATCAACAATAGGGAAAGGACAACAGACGTGGGAGACCAGTTCAAGTTGACGACAAGTGCAGGACCCTTGTCCCAATGGTAAAATCTCTTCCACACATCTCGTTGTCTGGCATGCTACACTGTCTATGCTTGGTAACTTGAGCCTAGGATAGGTCTGTCTACCACCTCTGTCGAAGGAATAGCCGCCTCTTTGGTTGTTAGTTTTTATTTTAGTGGGTTTTGTGGGAATAAATAGGACGCCAGAACCCTTAGCTGGCAACCTGTTCATAGTGTGGAAGCTCTCGATGTAAGTTCTTGAACGACAGGGCACGGACTTGGGCAGGTAATCACCCGCCTCGAAATTTTCAAACGGATTGACTTTTCACCCATTTGGTAGAGTGCGCGAGTTACAAGATGAATTCGTCTCCCGACCCGGAGGAGGAGCGTATCAGGGAGATGGTCCAAAAGTGTATTGAGGACGGGATCGTCCCTAAAGGATTAGATCATGGGACGTGTGTGGTGGAAGGTCGGACGGTGAAAATCACACTCAACTCAAGAGTGGACGATGTAGTGGTGAAGTGGCTAAAAGAAAGGACAGTTGCCGTCATCTTTCAAGGGGACTCAAAGGAACTACCAAATAAGATCAAGGAAATGCTAATTCGCATTTATGAGGATGGGTGGTATGCTAACCCTAACGTCAACCCTTCGCTGAAACGTGGAAGGATTAAATTCGAGGGTGCTAATGCTTATTCATATGTGGCCACGATAAAGGACATTGCTGAATTTATGATCCAAAAAGCATCTGATACAATCGTGTTCAGAGACCCTAACACTCAGGGTAGCTCTAACACTCGTTATCCGGTCCAATTTCGAAAGTGGTCCACAAAGAAAGAACTGGACGATCTCCGGGCCCAGGAGGAAGCAGGGAAGTTTTGGGTAATGGCCATAAGGGTGTCGTTGCATCACTTGCACTGGGCGGTAGAAAACTCCATGGCCAAGATTGTCGAAATGTACCCACCCCGGAAGGATAACCACTTCCCCCGTTTGATGAACATCAAATTTTACCTTGCCCCTGAGGCAAGGCAGACGTGGAGGGAAAAGCTGGAATTCGAGAAAGATGGAGAAGTGTTTAAGTTGGAATTTTTCTCCAAGGCCACGAATTGGTGCAAGAAATGCAAATGGTTTTATCATACAGAGGATAGCACGGCTTGCCCGCGTCACCCTCAGCACTACATGCACACACAAGGTTCTACACCGACAACAAATTCAGGGAGAAATGCACCAACAGGGCAGAGACCCCGACCTGCACTGGCCCCATTTCAGGCCGTACCTGTCTCGTCTCCAGCTATGAAAGGCTTACACCCGACGCTTCCACAACAGCATACACATGGGCACCCGCACATATCCATGACAGGTTTGACTCAAGGCTCAGTTCCAATGTACGCCACAGCACAACAGGGTTACATGCCACCTAATGGATTTCCAAAAGGATCTGTTGGGGGGCAATTCGGTTTTCCACCTTTCATGTTCCCTGGATTTGGGATACAGATGGGCCCGGGGCTATTTAACGAGAAATTCGCTATGTCGGGACAGATAATGGGTGGGGGGTTTCCTTCATTCAGCGGCAGGGAACAATCCAATCTTTGAGCCGGAACCGCCCCCCCCGGGAGTCCCATCTGCCCAGGGACAGAACACAGTCCATCCACTCATGCAAACATTGGCTGTGGGTACTAAACAACCCTCCACTTCCAGAACAAAAGAAGGACAGAACAGTGGAGGAGGTAGTCAAACCCCAACAATTCAAGTAAGGGGGGATCAGCAAGAGTTGTCACGGGATCCAGGTGGAATCAAGGCGCCGGAAAACGTAGCTGCCAAGAATTTGCCGCAGCAGAACGCTACCAGAGGGAATGTATCTGGCGAGGGACAGGGAGAGGAAGAAATTCAAAGCCCCTAGAACACCTCTCATTAGGAGGATCTAAATGCCCCACGAAACAGCGTCGTACCTATCAGGGAGGCATAATGGAGGAGAAGTCCTCTAGATCGTACGAATTCTCAGATTGGGAATCTTCGGCCTCCTCCATTCTCCCTGCCTCAGAAACCCTGTGGAAGTTGAACCAGGAACAAGGAAAGGAGCCCAGTATGGAGAACAGGACAGACATGCCTTCTATTCCAAAGGAGTATGCCAATTTGTGCAAAAGGATCGTGCCTGTTATCTGCGTCCCAGACACACAAGGGTCTCTAGTCTCGGGCTTCGACATGGGAGACAGAAGCGTGGGAATGACCTCCTTCCCGACAGAGGTACCACCGAACAATGATTTGATCCTCGACTGCGTCAAAGGGCTGCTGAAAAACAGACTCCCGTGCCGCATTGTTCCTAATGTTACAATGGGGAGAGCAGTTCGGCAGTACCCGGCCGGTGTCTGTCACCGACTTTACGTTCCATTTGTGGACTTGCGCCTACCTCCAGATGCTTACCCGGTGCTGGTGAGCGAAGGAGTGGTATGGGTTCCAGGTAGATGGTTTGATAGGACTGACAACCCAAACCTGACAAGCATTCACCTTGACGATGGTCTGCCTGCAGATTTCGTAGCAGAATGTAACCAGAAGTTAAAAGGGAGGAATTTGTCATCACTCTTTTTTCGGGACAGCCTGACTTCTCTATGGTCTACACCTCGGGAATCGTCTGGTATAGGTAGAAGGAGGAAAACCTCAACAGTCATGGGGGGTTCTGGTCGAATCCATAAACATGCCGACCAGACCCACCAAACATGAACCAGATACGACTGTTCTCATGGAACGTGAGGGGTTTAGGTGATAGGAATGGTAGGGAGAAACGAGGGCGCCTCAAATCCTGGATTCACTTACAAAAGGCACAAATTATCTGCTTACAAGAAACGAAGTTGGGCTTAAAAAAGATAGCAGAGTTGGGTAGATGGTGGGAGGGTCCGCAGTTGTGGGCTCCAGCAGACGGAACGAAGGGGGGAACAACAATTCTGGTCCATCGTGAACTGAATTTTGAATGGGTGGACGAATGCATAGACAACTGGGGGCGATGGGTTTGGGTCAAAGGCATTATAGCAGATGAA